TTTGAAAGAACCTTAGGTAGTGAGTCAGATATTGTTGGAAAAGAGTTGTACAGTTTTATCGATCATGATGATAAATTGACATTAAGACCTGAGGGAACAGCAGGTTGGTCTAATTTTTCAAAAGAATTCTAAATTCTCTAAAATAACAAAGTTTTTTTACTTTATAGGTATTGTCAGAGCATTAATTAGCAATAATATGGATCGTGATCTGCCCAAAAGGTACTATTACTATGGGCCTATGTTTCGTCGTGAACGACCTCAAAAAGGAAGGCTAAGGCAGGTGAACGTTTAATGATTTTATTTTATTGGCTATTCTTGGGCAAAAATTTTGTCCAATAACCAACTGATCATTGCCATCTTATACCATCTTATATGCCTACAGTTTGAACAATTTGGCGTTGAAATGTTTGGTTATGAAAATCCAACCTCTGATATTGAAATAATTGAAATGGCTTGGGCATTTTTAAATAAAATAGATACTGATACGACATTTGAGGTAATGTATTTTTTATTAATTTACGATTTTTAAATCCGTTAAATAATTCAAACATGATAATATTTCACATAGCTAGAAATTAATTCATTGGCCGATGTGGAATCTCGTGCGCATTATCGTGAAGTTGTTAAAGATTACCTGAGCCAGAATGCATCACGTCTTTCCTCGGATAGCGTGAAAAGGTGGTTTTTTATATTAAAAAAAAAAAAAGTTAGCATTCATATTTTCAAATTCAAATTTACCAAATACAGTTTCTCATCTAAAAAGAATAGCGACAAATCCTTTGCGTGTCTTAGATTCAAAAAATCCGGAAGATATACCAATCATTCAAAATTGTCCATCAATCACAGAATTTTATAATACGAAATCTGCTGAAAGGTTTAATGCTGTATGTCAGGGACTTCAAAAGTTAGAAATACCTTACAAAATTAATCCACGACTAGTTAGAGGACTGGATTATTATGAAGACACTGTATTTGAATTCAAATGTACGGATTCTAGACTCGGTGCTTCACAAGGAACTG